GTAATACACAGAATTTCTACAGTCACTTTAAACTTAACAACCTTTATAACACACACTACAAATCACAGTGATTCACACACTTTACTTACGGTGTCTACTGTTCGTTTGACTCAATTATCTATCTCTTCACTCTATCTATCTCTCCAATATATCTGCATATCTATCTATGCCCTTCAATTGCACTGGTTTTTCTTGCCAGGCTTATATACTAAAAAACAGTGCACCTCGAAAAAACTAGAGTTGCCAGGAAAATTCATGATCCTTCTAGAAACTCCAGTGCACATGCTCCCAGCGTCGTGTGACTTCCGCTGTCGTAACAGTATTCTTGAGGCTGCATGGGCTTGTGTAAAAATTAAGAAGTTTAAAACATCACCAAACAGCATGACTGAGATTTGAGGGGTAATACAGGACATTTTAAATGATATTTCATGATTGTATATTGATATCATATGGAGCATGAAAGTAAGGTGTATGTTCTGTAAAGAAAAGGGCTGATATACAAAACACTAATGCAATGTACTAACTTTTCTGTTTTCTATGGTAATGTCACTTTGTATCATTAATAAATTTACCATCTAGTTGTTATTACTCATTGTTTGTAACTGTTATGTGTTTTTCCATAATCACTTCCATTACTGTATGTGTAAGGTAAGTACTTTATTATAGTTTATATTGCTTTCTGTGCTAGGATGAGGGAACATTCCACATGAAACAACCTGCAAGAGACTTACTGAAGAAGCTTGGGAGTAAGAAGTCACAGGTGATTGGTTGGCGAGATATGTGGGCTATGGTAACCCAGAAAGGAGGTATTTTGTTTAAATATTTTTTACAAATAGTAAATGCCAAGATTTGATGCTGCTTTTTTAGTTTATCATAATAAAGCATTTCTGTCTGAAAATCATAAGTTTAGTTAACTAATAGTGATCTTTTAATTTGATGTTTGTTTTTTAATTATCAAGTAAATGTAAGGTAATTATATATATATATAGTGTGTGTGTATAACAAAACGTTATATATATACAGGGATGATTGAAGTGGGCACTTTGTGGGCATTTAAACCTATTTTTATATTGAAAACCTTACTTATGAATTATAAACTGTTTATCCATAGTTGAAGATGAAAACAGTACTTTGTAGGTGGAAGAGGTATAATTACAAGATAACAAGGAGAAATATTATAAATATAAATGAAAATTGATCTGATTAGGGCTGGAAAGAATTTCACATTTCAGGAATAAAAACATTCACACCATATATATATAAGCATACAGATATCATCATATTGAAAATGGTACTCAGACCTGTACTTTTACTGTCTTCCACTGTACACATGCTTCCTTTGAAGTGTATAAGAGCAATGTTGAGGAAGTGTACAGTTCAAGAGCATCATCATCTTCTTGTTATCCCAGTTTTTATGTTTGTTTAAGGATATATTAATTATTCATCTATTGCAGTGTAATTCAGTTGTTAGTTTTAAATTTAATATTGAGATTATTGTATATAATCAAAATGTGATTAAAGATTCATTGTTAGAAATATTTTCAGAATTGTTTCCAAAATAAAATTTTTGTAAGTTAGGTATAACAAATGTGATTAAAATTATTGAATATACAAGACTGTTCAGCTTAAGATTTATTATTTTGTTTATTTAGTGATTTAATATTTAATGATTATTTAGTTTTTATAACAAAGGTGTTAAAAATTAATTATTTTAAGAAAAATAGTTAGGACAAGATTCTTTAGGTAACTCCATACGAGTGTATGGTGTGTATGTAGTTTAATTGTTGTACTAGGTTTTTGTAATATTGTTGACGTCATATTACTCAAAGCTTCTAAGTTTTTCTTATTATGTTTAATATTGTTGTTACTAGAGGGCTAGATACTTCTAGGTTGTTCTGGCATGTGTCATAAATACCTGCAGAAAGAGAGTGCAAGAAGAAGTGAAGTTAGTGAAAGGAAAGGAAGTAAATGAAAGTAAGACAAAGTTAGTGAGAGATACAGATCTAGACTGTGTTTATAAGTTTAGCGATAAAGAATGTATAGTGGCAACTTTAATTGCAGATTGTATTGTAATAAACCGAGTGTAGAAGAATAATTCATCTTGTCAATTGGGTTCCAAAGTAACTGAATCAGCCTGTGTGGACTTTTGACATAAAAGAGAATTATTTAAAGCTCTGTATACAACTGTTGAAACCCACAGGGTAAAGTAAGTGAATCTACCCCTAATTATATTGTGATAGCAGAGTAGAGGAGAATAATTTGTCTTTTCAAAGTGTGTTGTAAATTAATTGAACCTGTCTGTTATCTTTGATGAAAAAGAAACAATTATTTAAAGTCCTGGATGCAGCTGTGATAACCAACAGTGTAACGATTTTTTTTTACGATATGTTTGACTTGTTTTGAATATATCCTTTTAAAACAAGTGGATTGTGTGCTATCTGTTTATTTTTGACATTTATTGCCAACAAGTCACAGACACCTACTGTAAAGAATTCCAGCCGATATAGCTATTACTATTATCAACATTATTATTCCCAAATAATATTTGGGCCTAATCTGGCCCTGTGTGGTGGAATGGTAAGAAATCCCAAAGCAGACAATGAATAGCAGGCCCTGTGTGCTGGAATGGTAAGAAATCCCAAAGCAGACAATGAATAGCAGTAGTAATTACTTAATATGATAAATTTCCATTATAGTTTATTCCAATTTTAATGCAAAAATCACCCATAGCAGTGATTATATCAATTATTTGAAATTACAATTAATCAAAAGTAGTATATTTAATTATTAATGTTTTATATTCTTCCAACAATTGATTAATCAAAATTCAAATTATAATGATTGTCACAAAAATAATCAACTAATCAAAATTAACATTTTCAATTATTATTGTTTTTGATTATTCCAACAATTGATTGATTTGAATTATAATTAAATAGACTGTTATGAAAACAATGAACTAATTGAAATTAGGGTTTCAGATTGTTACTATTTTTTATTATTCCAGTTATTCAAGTAACCAAAATATTACTATTATATTTGTTTATTGTTAAACACAAAGCTACATAATGGGTTATCTATGTTCTGTTCAATGTTAGCCGTATAAATTGTTGTTTGTTTTACTTCAGCTTTGGTGATTCAAGGGTCTGGGACTCAATTCCCATGGCTATTAAACTTGCTTGCCTCATTTTTCTGTTATGGAAATACTACTAAGGCTATCTGTCACTGTTACTAATTTTGAACTTCTGACTAGAATGAAGGCAACTGGCTGGCAGTACCCCAAACCAACTTTTTTCATTTTGAGCTGCTGACACAAAATATTGATTGTTTGTATTTTCCTTTCTGAATTGATCAAAGGGACCTGGCTGGCAGGATCTACTGCCAACTTTTTTGTTGTTGTTTGTGTTGTTTGGTATTGGCTAATGGTTAGATGAATAATGTTTCTTATAAAAGTAATATAGTTTGGTATTGGCTAATGGTTAGATAAATAATGTTTGACATTGGCTTAATGGTTAGATAAATAATGTTTGGTTTTGAATAATTGTTAGATGGTAATGTTTGGTATTGGCTAATGGTTAGATAAATAATGTTTGGCATTGGCTAATGGTTAGATAAACAATGATTGGTTTTAAATAATTGTTAGATGGTAATGTTTGGTATTGGCTAATGGTTAGATGAACAATGATTGGTTTTGAATAATTGTTAGATGGTAATGTTTGGTATTGGCTAATGGTTAGATGAACAATGTTCTGTATTGGCTAATGGTTAGATGAATAATGTTTGGCATTGGCTAATGGTTAGATAAACAATGATTGGTTTTGAATAATTGTTAGATGGTAATGTTTGGTATTGGTTAATGGTTAGATGAACAATGTTCTGTATTGGGTAATGGTTAGATGAATAATGTTTCTTATAAAATAGTAATAATGTACTAATCAATTGAATGTAATTGATTAATGGGGCTATTGGTCAATTAGCAAATAACCACAAATCACCCAGCTCTGTATGTGTATAAGTACAATATGTGGTGTTGTGTTCTAGGAAAAATGTATGGAGAATCATACAGTAAAAGTCCAGAGTTCAACACTTGGGGAGCCCCAGTTTTCCTTCGTGTGGAAGTGCCATTAGTTCCTGCAGAAAGTAAGTTAGCTTCAATGAATAAGTGATCATAGTTTAGTTGAAGGTTTGTACATTGTGTATAAATTCATATGGATTTTTTTTTAAAGTTTTATTCATACATTTGGCACCTGCAGTATTTGTTTCTAAAGAAGTATTTCAACTTTTTGTAGAATCTTTTGATTGTTAATTATTGTTCTACTTATTAACAACTATATCAGAGTTCATTATCAATATTGCTGAAAATTGGGACCAGTGTTTTTAATGGGACAAAACACTATTGCTCATTAGTTTTAAATAAAATTCATATTAAAAAAATATATATAGATAATCATTTTATGCAGGACATGTTGAGAATGTAACATTGATAAGTATTAAATTTTATATATAAAACTTAATTTTTTTGTGAAAAAATTATGAAGCTTTAGATTTGGTGTTGGCATCAACTGTGCCATGTCACTTCATACATAGCACAATAATTGTGGCCATTAGTGTATTTTCTCTGTAGTGCCTCAACTATTGTAAAGGTCATTTTTGTTTGTGAACATTTTTAATCATTTTAAGATATTTGTATATTTATTAAGTTTCATGAGACTCTTAACTTTATATTAGAATGGATCACTGTTACTGAGAAGATGCAAACAGTGGAGGGGTTACAAAATCCAAGGATTACAGGTTCCTTTTTGTCCCTGGGCCTCAACTGTGCTTGTACTGACACTGTTAAAAATCACTATTTACAAATACAACAAATTGCAGGATGTTATGTTACACGCAAAACATAGTTGAACATATGTTCATAAATACAAAAAAAAAACTTATTTCAGTGCACCATCTTTAGCAGATGCTTTCCATCAAGTTTGAAAGCAATACAAAAAAAATGTATAACAGTTAAGTTTCAAAATACATTTATGAGAGAAAGAAACTTGTTTCATTATCTATACATGAAACCAATGAAAGAATAAAATATTGTTGTTTACTTTTTATGGCGCTTGATATTATTACTCTTATTTTACAACAGTAAGAATAACTTCTAAATTCATACTTAGAAGTTAAATAAGTGATGTAAGTGTTACCGTTTAGAAAGCCAAGTAACAGATAGATCAACCATTATCAGTTACTTAGAAGGTAATTATTTAAAAGAATTTGTCATTCATGCCTTTGGGAGATATATTCAACCTAAAGATATTATAATCTTTCACTTTGGGTTTTATCATCAGAGGCACTCATGTCTTCATCTCCATCAGGGGTGTGGAAACACAAGTGTAACACGCTTGTGTCTTCATTTCCACTATGGTTGTAGGAAGTGAAATATAACTCTATTGTTCAAATTTATTATGTTTGTAGTGTTACGACAGTGGAAGTCATGTGACGCTGCTGGTAGCGTGCGTGATGTTTCTCGATTGATCAGGGAAGTCTGAAATTCCCTCTTCATTAGTATATAAGCCTGGCAGAGAAAGCCAGCAGGGTTAATGAAGAGAGAGCAGTAGTTACTTTGAGTTCCGTGTAATTTATGATTCTGTTAGTTTCGAGCTAGTGAGTTGTAAAGTGTGTGTTTTGCACTCAACGAGAGCGAAGTTATCGAGATTGTGAATTGCTGTGATTTATAGCATGTATTATAAAAATTGTTAAGTTTAAAGTGACGAGAAACGTACTGATTGTGGAACTACTGTGTACTAAAAGTTTGTATTGAGGAAGAATAAACTGGTTTAATCAAGAAAGGACTTGTATCGCTGAAGATTCTCAGAAAGAATTTCTACTGGAAGCAAACAAACAAGCAGATACGTAACAGTAGGAACTGCAGTGTAATGTACTCATGTGTTCAAATCTATTATGTTTGTAGGAACTGAAGTGTAATGTACTCATGTGTTCAAATCTATTATGCTTGTAGGAACTGAAGTGTAATGTACTCTTATGTTCAAATCTACTATGCTTGTAGGAACTGAAGTGTCTTTGGACAGTTATGAAACACAACATTCAATTTTCTTATTAGCTCTGATGCACTGCAAGGTGGAAGCAAATTTATCTTCAGTGCAGTAACTTAAAGTGGGTGTGGACAATGTTGTTGTGCTATCTGTTTATATAAATTTTAGGCCACACTGAGTACTTTAATTGTGTAAATTGCAGTACATATGTCCATTTCTTACATTCTCATCATATTTAAAGAAGACAATTAGAAGCAATGCTCTTTTTTACATCTTTATTATTCTGGTTTTACTGCTCTTCAAATTTCCCTAATGCAGCCATCTCCACATCTTAATTAGCATTTTGTGTATTCCTTGGATTCATCATGATTCATACTATATCCCATACATTTACCATGACTTGTTGTAAGTTTGTAAGTTGCTAAAAGTGAAATTTTCTTGGTATGTTTGTGATGTTTTTGAACATTTGGTGTGTAAGTGAATTGTCCATGTTATTTATCTTTGTTTTCTGTATTTTGTTTTTAACCTTACAGATAGTATGGCATTTATATGTAGTTTTTAGTAATTTCTTAATTCCTTGGTTGTTACACGTTGTGATTATTAAATTGTTTTTAAAACTGCATGTATATATATAAATATATAAGCATGGAAATCATGAATGCATTTCAGCATTATTCGTGCACAGTTGAATGTTTTTCCATTGTGAAAATAAAATTGTTCATCTCAGAGTAGTCAGGAAATATTCTGAATTCATGGAGACTATTACCATAAAATTATTATTGTTGGTGTGTGTACATGTAACATTGAAATGTTAGGAAAAAACAGACATTCAGCAGGTGACAAGAACTGAATTTAATAAGCACTTTTCTTTTATGTTTGATAAACAATTGTTAATGTTGTATTTTGTTTAGACAGTGAGTGTGGTTGGCCTGAGACAGAAGAAAATGAAAGGCGTCGATCTTTCTGTAATCACATTGAAGGTTATGGTAGTGTCTGTAGCTGTACAGACCCAGCTCCTTTAAACTTTAATCCTGAACCAGTAAGTCTATAATCACTTTGAACATTATTATGGTGTTTGCATTCATATTGATCAAAGTCACTTAATCTTGAACTGGTGTATCTGTAGTCACTCTGAACATTATAACAAAGTCTTGAGGTGTGCTGAGTCACCTTCTTTAATCTTGATTTGTTTAATTTATGTTTGTATCAAATGTTAAGTCAGTGTCTATAATTACACTAACTCAGCATTTATTAAATTTAATTCTCATTCAGTAAATTGTATATGATCACTTTGGATATTGTAGTATTGTGTGAAATTGTACTGACTTCAATCCCTTTTTGATAGATTAAACATTTCTTTGAAAGTTAACCATTTTTCAGTTTTTAAACTTTTTGTGAAATTAAACTTCTAAATTATTTCCAAATAAAACTGATTTCTGCATAAATATCAGATAGATCTGCTGATAATAGCAGAGTCTACAAGAAAATTTGTAAAGTAGTCTGTATTTGAAAACTTGACTGAGTTTTCTAGTATTTGTGAAGTAATGAGACTAGAGAAAACAACAGACAATCTTTATTGCAACTAAACAAAAGAAAATACAGCATGCACATTTGTGGAGACAGTAAGACTTTCATTTCTACTGGACCATGATTAGGTCCACAGCATAGATCTCTATAAAGCTAAATACATTGAACTCCAAAAGGAACTGAACCTGCAGATCACCAAAGAGAATTGAACTAAGAAACAATGTTTCATTCTAACAGATAACCTCAGTTTTTTGCCTGTTCAATGGCATCATCTCATGTCTCTTGTTCTCTCACAGCATTGACTGGTTGTGATGTACAGACATCATCCATTTGGTTAGCAAAGGTTATTATAGTTGGCAATCCTTTTGAGACCCCTAACGACTTGCCATGACACAATTTGGAAAACACTGAACTAGATGAATGAAGAATTTCAAAAATTCCAATATTACTAAAAGCAGTTGGAAAACATATGCCTGTATATCACACCTTCATGTAAAAGTACTTGTATAAAATCAGTTATTTTCACTCTATGATAAGTTATACTGTTATAAGCTTGGATTATCTGTATCTAGAGATTTTTTATTTTAAGAATCAAATACTTAATGTATGATGCTAATATATTTTCCTTCAGTTGCCAGACAACAAAGTCTATGATGTACCTGTTGCAGTTGTTGCTAGCAACAGACCTCATTATTTGTACAGGTATGACCGTAGTATGTAATTTCATTAGTTTGTATTTGTTTCTGTTATGCATGGAAAATATCCACAAGATGTTTGAAAATTATCTATTATGTCAACAAATTAACTTAGCTCTTTATTCTTAGTGTATCCTGGCAATAAAGTGATAAATTCAAAACATCAAGTTAGGTTACCTGTTCATTAGTTGATCAGTTTTGAAATGTATGTTACTTTGAAGTCAGAACTATTTATAATTCAAATCTGTCTCTAGTTTGTAAAGTTGAAATGACAAATTCTCCAAATCTGATCCATAGTTGCCTGTAGTTTGTGATTTTTTAAACTAGAAAAAAACACAATTTAAATGATGTAGACAGTTCACGTTTTTTTATTTGGAAAGTGAGAAAATACAAATATTCTAGATTCATATGTTCATTAACGAGAAATTTAGTAATAACTATTTACATCAAATATTGTTAAAAAAGTAGTCCTTAACTATAGATAAAAGTATTAAAAATTCATATTTTTTTAAATAGATGGGATAACCCCTTATTTAATATGTAAAGATGTCATGCCAACATTCATTCACCTTTGGAAAAATGTTATAATTATCTGACATCTTGCTTTCCTAGAATGCTTCGATCTCTACTGTCTGCTCGTGGATGTAACCCAAAGATGGTTACAGTTTTTATAGATGGCTACTTTGAAGTAAGTAACATTGTAAAATAAAGTGTTTTTTTTTAATGTAGAAACTACATTAAAATTACACATTATTCATTTCTATGCACTTGAACAATGGTAAGATAGTTTTAACAAGAAATCACTGAGTAAGTTTGAAAAAGAAAATGCAGGAGCTTGTTTATTTTCAGTTTCCCACTACTGTTTTCTGTGTACAAAACTTTATATCAGGACATGTGTCGTTTGTAGCTAAATGATTCATAGATATTTCTGTTTTCTAGGAGCCATTGGAAGTAACAAAGTTGTTTGGTCTAAGAGGAATTCAGGTAATATGTTTGGAGGTTTTATTTGTTTATTACATAAAATCAATACTAAGGATCTTGTTTAATATTTATAGTATTGGCAAAATTAATGTTTTTAATTGTGTTAATTTTACAAAGTCATGTTTTGCTTTTGATACTAAACATAAACATTTAGAATTATTTCAACAAGTTTAAAATCTTTTCTTACAGCTAACACTTGAGACGAAAATGATAATTAAAAACATCACAATGCTCACCCAAAATCAGTGAGTGATAATGCTGGGTGAACTCGGGTACAACTTTGCATAGTGTTTAGTCTGTTTATCATTTCATTCAATTTTATATGTAATAAATGTACAATCTTATTCCAGCAAAAAAAAAAACATTTATAATGAAAAACAGTGCTGTATCATCTATCATATTCATATATTCATTTATCGTGCTGGTTTTAACTTTTTTATGTGTAATTACAAATTTAATATTTGAAAAGAATAATATTGTACTATTTTTAAATGTATAGTTATTCATAATTAAATATGTTACAAAAACTAATTTCACTGACAAAATGAAAAGTCTGAAAAGCACATATAAACCAGATTTATCACTAATGTTCATTGAATTGAAAGTAAAGTCAACATAAGGTATGAAAACTGGCAAAAATAATCTCATTGAACCTGTATGTAAAATAAGTATTTTGATTTATTTTAGCACACACCAATTGGAGCCAAAAATGCTCGAATCTCCCAGCATTACAAAGCTAGTCTTACAGCAACCTTTAACCTGTTTCCTGTAGGTTTGGTTTGTAACTTTACCTGGTTTAAGACATTATAGAATAAAATATATTTGTTTAAAACCTATAGTATAAAAGGATAGAAAAAATAACCCTTTAAAACAGACAAGTGAATAGTTAATTTTATCAAATAAATTCATGGTGAGAGATTTTATCATCTTAAAAACAGTTCTTGTGTAGTAGCATTTCATAGCATTATTAGTTTCTTATTACAAGATTCAACAGATATTGTGTTGTTTTCTAGTTTTAATATTTGGCGAATAATTTTTTAATCATGCTTAGAAGTTTATTCAAAAAGTGTAATCATATGCTGTTACTGTTTGACAATGAGTATGAATTATTTAAATACTGATTAAGCCTAGACTTACTGAGTTTTGAATTGGAAAAATATTATAGTAAGTAGTAAGCTTGAGAAGTAGCAGTTTCTATTTTATATTTAGTTATGATTTTATTTATCATTTATTAATTTTTCTCCCATGATTCAGTTCAACTGTATTTATATTTGCCTTAAATGCTATCTCACCTGTCTCCTAGTGAGCATTAAATATTAAAGAAGTCATTTTTATGTTAAGACATAAAATGAGGTTTCTCCTAGTGGTGATGTATGGACACAAAGTTTATGATTAATTATGTAAAACAAATGTTAGATAATTAATTGTGCGACATGCAAACTTGTGGTCTGGCAAGACAATAAAAAGTCTTGAGACTTGAAGCTAGACTGATGAAAGAGCGAGAGAGAAGTGTTAGGTTAGAGATTTGTGAAACTATGAAATTTGAGATATTTTATTTGTTAAAAGATATTATTGCAAGTACTTGTTTTTTGTTTTAACATTATTTCATTGGAAAGTGTTCATTATTGTTATTTTGAATAATCTTTAAATTAAGTTTATTATCTTCTGGTTCTTTTTTTTTCCTGATTCATTATTACTGCTATCATAATTTTGTGATTTTGGAATTAACAATGTTGCTTTTGTGTATTTGAGTTTGATTTGAAGATTTAGTTGTTTATTTACAAAAGTCTTGACCAGGCACTCTTTTTATCGCTAAGACTTGTATTGTTTTTGATAAATCTCCTACTATTTTGTACCCAGTAGTAATGTTATTTGATACATGATGAGCTGTAACTAAGTTTATATCGTGATTCGAGTGCAACTATTGAATCTATGAAACATTCTGCAGTAAGCATCTTGTGTGATGAATATATGAAAAAAATGTGTTTCTTTGTGGGGGATTAATCATTACTGTTTTGTTTGGTGATAAAATGTATTTCTTGATTTTTTTTTTATTGCTGCTGTTGAGCTTAATAAAATGAAAACTTCCTTATTTTAAGCACGTATTTGTGGTAATGGGCAGTGATTATATTTAGAAATTCAGGTATTCTGTAGATAGACTCTGTCAAATGAACTTCAGTAGTTTCCTTAATTTATGAACTACTGTGTAACTTTAAATCGACAAGTCTGAATCATCTAGGATCCATAAAAGAATTCAATTGAGAGCCAGTACTTTTTTTACCATTTGCTAGATTTTACACATAAACAAAAATTCCAATAAATCCTGATTTGTACTTTTCACTTAAATTTTTAATTTCTTCATTCTGGTTAAGAATAAAGAAAGTTAACTTTGTATTGTCAAGTAAATAATGTATAGTCTCAATATATGTTTTATCGCAGCAAGCCAGGTATAGTATTGTTATAGAAGAAGACCTGGATGTCTCTCCAGATTTTTTCAGGTAGGTCTTGTATGCATACCACTGTGTGTGAGTATGTTTGTGAGTTTTCCAAATATAGAACTGATATGTATGTATGTATCTATCTATATAAAAACTGCACAAGTTAAGAATTTAACCTCTTATTTGATCCATCAGTTTATTTATTGTAACTTTGGCAATATTTGATTAATTTTTATAAACTTTAGAAATATAATAGCATTTTATGTAAATATTCAGGCTATTGAATACTCTCGTAGGAGATCTCATGATGTTTGGTTAAAATTTTGGAAGACATAGGTTTAAATCAAAATCTTGACAGTAATCGGTGCTTATACTAACATTTAGGTTATTAACTGATTTAGCATGATTGAAATGATGCAGGTCGTTTGTGAAGATAAAGATTAATTTATGTTGACAAGTTATTTTATTTTCCTCAGAACTTTAATATGTACATTAAAACAACTAATATTAATATATTATTTATGAATTTCATGCTTATACAACAAAACTTGATAAACCCCTGTTATTCTAGCTATTTCAGTCAGACATTGCCATTGTTGGATGAGGATGATTCTTTGTACTGTATTTCAGCTTGGAATGACCAGGTAAATACACTTCCTTATAAACAACGTTGATTAAAGCTCATCTTGTATAGTAGATTGTTAACAGTAAATATATAAATGTTTGGATGTCTGATTCACTGCATTGACTTGTAGAGAGAACAATATGCCTTAGTTTATAGAGTTGGTAACAAAACCATGAGATTGTTAGTTGGCATCATCTGAACCTTTGTTACTAGTTTAGAATGTTTAGTTTTAATTTTCATTGTACATATAGGAGGAAATTTAAGAAAATTATGGTGCTGGACTTGATAAATATTTTGTGAATGTTAATATAAAACACTGATCTTAAGTCTTTAACTTATTGAGCAAGAGAAAGAAAGAAAGTGTGCATTCAAAATGGGTCCACTTGAAACTAATATATAACAATATCTTATGCTACTGTTTGTCATTTACTTATGCAAACAAAAACATTTAACTCAGAAACAGTTTTAAACATGATGGAAGTTATGAACTACTACAATGTCACAGAATGTTATGGCTGTTGGATGAGTAGTTGCAGAAGCCTGAACAAAGCCTACTAACAGATATGCTTCAAATTTCTGCACAACTTCTCAGTGGTGTAGCAAGGGTTCTCAGCACCCGGGAGCAAAAACACTTTTGGCGCCCCCACCTCTGAAATGTTTTGATTATTTGTTTTGTGACTCATTACCCACTCAATGACAATAACATAAAGAATTAATTACCACCTTACACAGGCTTAAAATAAAGTCACAATATTACAACTGTAAACCTGGAACTAATGAACTATAGCCTACTAGGTGTACTTACATAATTTGTAAACCATTTTGATATTTATGTCATCCAGTATTCTTCAAAGTCACACAGCTAGAGTAATCTTTCAAGCATGCAGAATAAATTTGTTATATTCCTAGTTTTGAAACTTATGTTTTATATGAGAAGCCAGTCACTTGTGGTGTACATGGATTATAAAATACTACTTAAGTTTACAAATAACAAATTTTATTAGTTTACAAAACTGTACATATACTTAACTAGATCTTTTACAAGTAGCATTCTGGTATTCATAATTACATTATATGAACCTTTCATGCTTTAGCTGCTGCAAATGCATCAATTAAACCATCAAAATTTAAGGTATTAAGTACGCCTTTTTTAATACTTAGTATTGCCAAGTTACTAAGTCGTTCTTGAGTCATTGAAGTTCTCAAGTATGTAAGAATTAATTTCAGCTTCCTGAAAGACCTTTCACAACTAGCAATAGAAACCCAATTGTTAACAAAATCTGCAATGTAATTCTTAAATTT